GGAAAAATTTTTTTTCGAAAAAAAAATTTTTGAAAATTTTACTATGTAAACCACAAATCCCCCCCCCCCCCCCCTCCTCCGGAGGGGAGAGGGGGGTAATGTAAAACACAGAATCCAGTTGGTCTCGCCTTATTTTATAGTATCCTAATCAAGAGTACATTTCTATATCCATTAATGAAAATAACATTAATGATCAAAATATATTTATCAACCAAGCCGAAGAATATATGAAAGACTTTAGTAAACCTGCTAATTTAATAGGATTTAAACAGTTGGTTGACGACTTTGAAATTGAACTACCAGAAGAAGTATTGATTAATGCACTCGAATTACTTAGCGATGATTGTTTATTTAAAGGACACACAAAGCGTACTATGATACGACTTGAAATTCATCTTAGAACATTAATGGCAACCTTAGAAAGAGCATGTTATTTTCCAATTGTTCTAAGACGTGAAATTCGTGAACAGCTTTATAAAAATTTGAGGAACTTTATTGATATTCATTATAATGTAACAAATATATTTAAAAAGGGTGTCGGAGGAGTCAGTTCCGGTTTTAAACATAAACAAAAATCTAAAGCTACTCCTAATAGTGACGATATTTATATGCATTTTCGAAATTATGATATTGACTTTTTATTAATTCACTTGCGTGATACTTTACATAGTATGCGCAACGATGAAACACGAATGCAGGAAATTTTACGACACATTAAAGAACTTCTTTTAGCTTTCCTTCATATTCCACCTACAGCCGCTGCAGTTGCGTTAGGAAATATTCCTAGTGCTCTTGGTGTTGTAGATATTTTATCAAGCCTTGTTAAAGTTTTTGATTTTAAATATCCTATTACTTATTGGTATCCTACGTGGCGTGAGCTTTTGTCTATTCACTACTCATTAGAAAGTTTAACTAAAGATAAACTCTATAGTATCTTACGATTTTATAATGAAACTTATCTTCTTGAATTAATTTAGAAACTTGTTTATAATCTAAGTATTGATCAAACACATCAAGGCAAGAACCTAAATGATCAAACTGAATTTCTCGAATTTTTAAACATATGGACTAAGAAAGAACCAACAGCTCCACCAAATTCATTATGGTTTGGAGTTCTAGATCTTGCTCAATCCTTAAGTCAAAAAACGACACAACTTGCTAATTTGGCGCTATGCTATTATTTAGGCCTGGAATCATTACAAAAATCTAAATGTATTTATATTTGTTTCAAGTCTTTAGAATTACTTTTGCTACTATCTCATCAAAAGCCTGAATGGTTTAAAGATATAGTACAGGAAGAAATCAATAAATATAGAGAATCACTGTCAATAACTTCTCAACAAAATCTTGATAACCTTATTCATGATGTTAACTTAAAGATTCAACTAAACATCGAATTCACAAAGCAATCAAGTTTACAAAGGGCGGAAATTCAAGTTGACAAAAAATTTAATAGTCTGCTAGAGATAGTCATAGATCAACTTACTTGTCCAATAACCGTGCAAATAACTGGTGATTTTTTTATTTTGACATGTGGCCATTCTATTAGCAATTATGCTATTAATGAGTGGAAAAAAAGGTCAGAAATTGAAAATAAAATCTTTGAATGCCCTATATGTAAAAGTGAAATTAAATTAGAGTCAACATTCAGTTTTCCAAAAAATGCAACATTAAAAGGTCTTTATGAAAAATTAGAACAGGCCGGCTATTTCAATAAATTGTCAGAAGAGCAACTATCAGCAAATAACCTTCATATAGCAGACGATGATTTATTTTTAAAATTTAATAAAGTAAAAATATTTCGTGATTCTATAATTTCAAGATTGCCTTCTCCAATTTTTCAAAAAGTTCGTCCTAAAATTACTCTACCAGCTTTTAATAAGGCAGCTAAAGCAGAATTACATGATTATATGGGCGTCATAATTTTGCTAACTCAAGTTTTGCAATTACACCCAAAAAGCTATTCAATTCGATGCAGAAGAGCATTTGCAGCATACCATCTAAAAATATATTCAAAAGCTATGGAAGATTTGGATACCGCAATTCAATTAAAACCATCCAAATCTCTAGCGTATATTTACAGAAGCAAGTTTGACGATAACTTAGGTAACTTATAATCTCAACTGAAAAAAAGATGGCGGATACGATGTCTGGATTTTATTCTCTCGTCTCACTTTTCAACTAAAAGAGAATTTTTGACGCATTTTTATTCAACACTTTCAAAATCTGTATAACGATTGATGTTTGAACGAAAGCAGCAGGAGCAGAATACTCATAATTATATTTGATTATTCAAAACACTTCAATGAGAGGCAAATAATTTTTAATTAAAAGGTTCTAGTGGTTGGTGAGTTATCAAATATAAAAAAATATTAGAATTAAGTTATTTACATCAAAATCTATGTGTAATCAGCCGAATTCAAAATTTAATTTTGAATAAGGTCGCACTTCGCGTGAAGTTATATAGCTTGTGGCAATGTTCTTGCCAAATCAAATTTCAAGATCAGGAATAATCTTTTAAATTATAAAATCGTAACAATCAAATATAAATAAGATAATAAGACATTAACAATCTAAAATTTCATAATCTGGTCAAATCAAATTTATGAATATGAGTAACCTTTTAATTTTAGACAAATATACACATACAAAAAAAATTGCGACCGGTAAAAATTTAAGTCTAATCAATTTTTGACTGATCAATAGGCCTCCGCAAAATTACTCGTGAATTTTTGGGGCTATAAAAACAGAGTTCCACAATTGGTGCTTGACCTAAAATTAGCATGTGGAATTAGTATGATAAACTCACTTTCGACAAATGAGCTTTGTTTGTACCTCACACGTATCTGTTGCCAGTGGCAGGCCTTTAAAGTCAGGCGGGTACGGACCTGAGGGCGGGCTTGAGCCCGTACCCGCCTGACTTTAAAGGCCTACTATTGAAAACAGGCAAATGTAAGGTACAAACAAAGCTCATTTGTCGAAAGTGAGTTTATCATACTAATTCCACATGCTAATTTTGGGTCAAGCA